TTTCATTAGTTTACGGACTGTATGAATATGCAAAAAGCTGACATGATTCCGAATCACTTGCAAATTTCTCCTGACGCTCCATTCCAGTTTTGTTCTGACTTTGAGATGAAATATGAAGCTCCTTGACATAGCCAGTGAATTTATTATTTCCTGAAATCAGTGACATCATGTTCCCTTCATCTTTCCTTTGAAAAACAAGGGAAAAAACTCATTTTTGGTGGGGTTGGTGGGGTTGGTGGGGGGTGGGGGCTGAAAATAAAAAAAAAAAGTGATGTCTTCGGCAAGCAGTCTATGTGCCAAGTTTCAGCTTGATAAGTTAATAGGAAGTAGCTTAGTCGATCGAAGATTTTGCCAGCCAGGCACGAATGAAAGCGAAGTTAATTTATAGGGAAAAAAAAAAAGTTGTTTGTAATTGAAAATAATAATATTTGAAAACCACACTCCTATTGTGAACTAATAATGATTTAAGGATGAGCGATGTGTTTGAAATTAAGCAACGGGTTCGGTACTTGTCGGATTTCTCCTTTAAATTTTGGATTTATATGAATTTTTAATATTGATTTTATATGGGTTTTTTTAGTTTTGATATTTTAATGACTGATTTGGAAAAATATTCAAATTTTACCAACTGATTCGCTGGAACCGGTCGTCCGAACAGAAGAGGCTTTAAACACCTGAATTAAATATATCTAAAGTTAATCAATCGTCAAGAAATAATTCATTATTTAGTGTTTAGAGCCAAGGGGGGTCAATACAAGGGGAAGGCACACAGAAATTTTTAATGGTTCAGTAATTTAAATCTAAGTTATCCCGGAAATCTGTAGAGTCACGTGATTCCAGTTGGCGCGTTTTCGTAGCATTATTGTTTATTGTTAGTGTTGTGCAAGGTTTACAATCTTATTGTTTCAAAAGAGAGAATTTAAAAAAATGGCCCCTAGGGACTACGTTGCAGAAAAGGGTAAGTTTTTTGTAGCTCATGCTGACTTTTACGAAACAATAATAGCCTTTAAACAGGCATAGACGTTAAAGCCGTAGCGTAGTAAGGGCATCGGCAAGGGCCTACACTACGACAGACTACGTCAGACTACCACTACACTAAATAAGTGACTGAGACTGTCAGTGTGTGCGACATTAAGAAATAATATGCCGGAGCGCACAGCTCAATATACTGAAATGAGTGATTGATACCTACCGCAGCGCAAAATATAACTGTCATTTAATAAGGTTATGGTTATTTCAGCAAAACAAGTGTTGGTTCATTCATTAGGCAGGCTAATTAAATTAGTTTAGGATAGCATCGGATTCATGCTTTTTTATTATGATTATAATTATAAATATTTTTTTTTTGAGGTTTAATTTATCCATGATGCCATCAATAATCAATGGATGACACTAAGTGACTAATGACAGTAATCAGAGTCGGAGCTTAATTATTAATATGAATGTTGGTCACTTTAACTTTAAAGTTTAATATTATTGACACTTGAAATGATTACTAAAATTTACTACTATTAAATATTAATAGGTTGAAGGCTATTATTTAGGATTAGTCTGATTTATGCTTAAACTTAAATTCAAGTAACCTCTTTAAAAAAATTAGAAACTTTTAGAATCTAAATTTAAGAATAAGAGAGTTAAACAGCACTCAAACTGTTTGAAAAATCAACAAAGAAGTGGTAGATTACCCTACTGATATATTTTTGGCAGTGTCTAATCTCCCGCACTGTTTGTCCGCCGTCCAAGTCACGTTCAGTCGGAAGAATACTTTTCTAGATATTCGTCCGGCGACCAAATCAAATGACCGCCATAACAAAGTGGTGCGAGATATTTGTCCGTCAGCCTTGTCTTGTGACAACGAATGATTCAAAACTGTATTGTTAATTTTAAAATCTATTTCTCTACCAAGTAATTTACTGAGTATCTTGCAAAAAAATAATAGAAAAAAATACTTGGGTATATTACCAAAACAAAGAAGGGGTTAAGCAATAATGCATTCTAGAAGGAAGCAATGCTGAGAGGGAGAGAGAATTACGGTAATAAAAAAAACGAATGCTAAAAAAAATAATAGTATTGTAGTAGTGAGGGTGATAAGTTTAAGGCCGGGAGGCCGATAGTTCACAAAGAAATATACTCTACACCTTAATTTAGGGCAGATATAGTGGTAGCCTAGCCTACGTCTCATGCAATAATAATCCTGCAATACAACTTTATTGACATAGGTCTATTGAAGTCTACTGGTCTTATGTTATTTTGTTCATATTTTAAATTTAAAAAAAAAATTTTCTTTGAAGTGTCGGAATCAAATAGACTAGTAGTACTAGTAATAGTAGTAGTAATAGTACTACTAGCTAGTTTATAGGCCGACTAGTTTAATATTCAAAGTCAAACACTTTATGTATCTCAGAGTATTTGAATATATTAACATGTTCAGCATTTATTTATTATCTAGGGATCGGAATATCAAATGCAATGCAACTATTTTGCCGGCGACCACTTGTCACATGACCTGCCGGAATAATAACACCTACTAGTGACATCTGTCATGTGACATCTCCGCCAGACGTATATCTCCCGCACTATTTGTCCGGCGGTGTAGACACTTTTGTACATTTTTCATGAAAATAACTGTCATAAATATAAGTGATAAAAAAACATTTTGTCTCTTCTCACCCAACAGGTAAAATCACAACATTCTTAAAAGAATATTACAAGGATGCCGATGATGGTGGTAAAAACTTTGTGTATGCTGATCAACTGGTGAGTGAAGAAAGCAAACATGTGGGCAATGTGACACCTAAGTCAACAATGTTGCCAATCAATTGTCAATTGAAAATAAACATGCCTACGCTGGGTATGCTTAACCCTTATTCAGTATTACATCTAAAAAAAAAATGAGTTTTTTTTTGTTGGAATGTTACCAAATAATCCCCTATTGTCATCTCTACACTACAACTAGACTAAATGGATACATGCTGCACATATTTTGTGATGTTATACAAAATGTTTTTTTTTTTTTTTTAAATTCTTTAAAGTAAAATCCTAAGCCAAACCATTCATCATAGCACAACCTTCACTGAACCATTAAATTTATGAATTATCTTTTTTCAAATAATCCCCTATTGTCATCTCTACACTACAACTAGACTAAATGGATACATGCTGCACATATTTTGTGATGTTATACAAAATGTTTTTTTTTTTTTTTTTAAATTCTTTAAAGTAAAATCCTAAGCCAGACCATTCATCATAGCACAACCTTCACTGAACCATTAAATTTATGAATTATCTTTTTAGACCAAAGTTGCACACAGAGAACAAGTAGCGCTCACTGTAGATGTGGATGATGTGGCAGACTTCGACCCAGACCTGGGTGAGTCAATACTGGAAAATGCTCGTCGTTTTGTGCACATTTTTGGTGAAGCTGTCCAAGAACTTTTGCCTGAATACAAAACTAAAGAGGTTTGTAATGCCTATTGCATTTAGGGTTATTTACACTGTTGAAATTGTATAAATGAAGTTGGTGCACTTCCTGTTTTTACAGATTTTTAAAAGCTTTTCTAAAAAAAATCTATTTCACATGTTCTGATTCTTTGCTCTGGCCAATACAGCTGAAGTGTTGAATGCTCCATCCTAGGTACACAACAAAGATGCCTTGGATGTTTACATAGAACACAGACTCTTGATGGAGCAAAGAAATCATCCAGCAGATTCAGAAGCCACAAGAGATCCAAAAACAAGATATCCACCAGAGTTGATACGCCGATTGTGAGTTGATCATTCTTTGCAGGATCTTTTTAGGACTAAGATCTTACATGAATTAGACTTAGTCCTAAGGCACCTTAGATATAAATTTTGAAAGAGATAAGATGTGCCATCTCAAATGAGATTATTTGAGGAAATAATATTGTTTGACTGTTTGGTTCTTCAGTTATCATTTTATCTCTGTCTGTCACAGTTAATCTTTATAATTAAAAAAAAAATAGACCTATATATAAAAAAAAAACTTCTGTAAAAAGTTCTGTAAATGATGGGATGACCTCAGCATTCAATATTCCAAAACATGTGATAAAACAAAATCATGGCGAAATATTATTTTAAAATGTGTTTTTTAAAAGTAATATTTCAATTAGTTTCCACACTAAATCTTTTGTCTAAAAAGTCTCAACGTTATTTTGGACCAACCATTACATTTTCCATCTTAAATTACTGAAATTAACGACTATTTCAAAATTTTAAAAAATCATGAATATTTTTCCCTGTCCAGTGAGATCTATTTCAAAGCTCCATCTCACCAAAAGTTTTCATCAATTCGTGAAATCAAAGCTGCTAACATTGGAAAGTTGGTGTGTATAAAAGGCATCGTTACCAGGACGACAGAGGTCAAGCCGATGATGGTTGTGGCAACATACACCTGTGACACATGTGGCAACGAGACTTACCAGCCAGTAAGTTTGACATGTTCCATGGTGTTGGGTTTCTGTATATAATAAATTATTTAAAAAAAAAAAATAATAATAAATAATTATTTTTATGTTCTTTAAAAGAGCTCATGCACAATTTACTAATAATGGTGAATAAGGCACACAATTTTTCCTGTTAAATTTATGGTAATTTAAACACCAGTTCAAAGATTTTTTATTTTTTAAAGCATTTTTTAAAATGCATTTGTATTTTATGTACTTTAATCATTTTACAATTGTTGTTTAGTTTAATAAACAAAAGGATCTGGTTTACAAATGTAAAAAAAGCCGAAATATTTTCACTTTAAAACAACCAAATTTAGTTTTTGGAAAATTATAAAAATTGTTGTCTGAGGTATTATTTCCTGAATCTGTTTGAACTGTGCTCCTAGGTCTCAGATATCTATGTAAAAATTTGCTTGCCGATAGCAGATTATTTTGATTAAGTTGTTTGAGCATTTCTTTTGTTGACATTTAACAGATTGGCAGCACAGCTTTCATGCCCCTCCTGATGTGTCCAAGTCAGGCATGTACTACAAACCGATCAGGAGGCAGACTCTATCTACAAACCAGAGGCTCTAAATTTGTTAAATTCCAAGAAGTTAAAGTTCAAGAACATGTAAGTTCGTTAACATATTTTATTTTTCAAATGAAAATTTAAAAAAATAAAAAATGAATTTGGATTTATTGTTTCATTAATGGGAAAGAAGAAATTAGAAGTAAGATTAAATTTCTTCTATACTGATTTTATGCCTAATTATTATGTATTTTATAATAATTATTTATGTATTATGGCATTTCAGAGTGACCAGGTGCCAGTAGGAAACATTCCCAGATCAATGACTATTTACTGCAGGGGTGAGACCACCAGGAAGTGCCAGCCAGGGGATCATATCTGTGCAACTGGTGTATCCTTTAGTCTCAATTATTTATAATTTAAGGAAGGGGCTCCTGTGTTGTGTGTATGGGGGGGGGGGCGGACAACTGGTAATCTATTTATTATAAATAAAATTTAAACATGGTGAAATAAATGTCTGGTAATTTTTCTGGAAATTTATGGGAAGAATATGATTCTTTTTTGGATAAATTATATAATTCTAATTTTTTTAGAGATTTATATTATAAAAATAATATTTGTTACTTATTCTTGTAGATCTTCAGTTTAAAAGTATTAAAGCATTTTAAAAGAACATAGAAAGTGGAATTATTTGTTACCTAGGCAGTTTTAATTTCTTGTCCCCCCAAAAAATCTATAAGTATTTGACAATCTCCTTAATTCATCTTAGATCTTTCTACCTCTTATGCGCTCAGGATTCCAACAGATTGCCCAAGGGTTGCTGTCAGAGACATTCCTTGAGGCACATGTACGTTTAATTTTCAGTGCTTAAGAAGAATTTATGTTTCTTTTTAATTATCCTTTTACACGGCAGACGTTCTTCCTCTTGCTAGTTCTGAATGGGTAACATGTTTCCGGTTTTTAGTAAGATTTAGGGTTACGTTAGTAAAAACATCAAATCTAAGGTGTTAGTAAACAAATTTTTGTGAAATAAAAAGTAAAATAAAGGAAAATGAATGCAGATTTATTATTGTACTCACATGTTGCCATTAATCTTCGTATGAACACAAATATTTGCAAAAAAACAACATATTGTTTGTGATTGTGAGTCATCTATTTACTATTTACAAACACTGCCACGAAATCGAAGTGTGTACAATTCAACACTGCTTACTACGCTGATTTCACTAATATTACTAATTATATTAATTAGTATCTAGTTCCAATTTATAGTCAAGTCTTGCACTTCTTTCAATGTCACTAAAATTGTATCCAGCGAAATCTCTGCTATCACTTGAAGAATCGTTAAAATCAATTTTGAAAAACAAAGCATTAAAACCCTGAAAACTACCAAAAAAATTTGATGAAATACTTTTAACTGGCGCCCACTCTATCCAGCTATCGGAAAAACCGGATGTAAACAATTGGAAGTCTCGCAAAGACTCATAGATCGCGTGTTTACAACTCATAGTTGTCACGGACGGTTTTGGGCGTTTTTCCCTTTTAAGTAGTAAAGACGGTTTTTGTCGCTCTGCCCCGTAAAGGGTTAATCTTACATCTTATATTCTATTGGTTTCTATAATAAACAACAGCCAGGTGATAAATCTTATTGAAGATTATTTTTTTCAACAGAGAATTGTACAAATGAACAAAACAGAAGATGATCTCAACGACTGTCAAGAACTGACATCAGAGGAACTGAAACTTGTTGCAGGTAAGAGATTTTAAAGTAGAACAATTCTAAACTCACACCTGGGTAAGAGATTTTACTGTAGCAATTTTAAACTCACACCTAGGTAAGAGATTTTAAAGTTGAATTTCTGACCCCATAACCCATGTAAGAGATTATTAAGTATAAGATTTATAACTCCAGCGCATGTCTTGTATTTGCTCAAAGTGGCAATCACCTTATTATTGCCATGTGTTTAATTTCAAATTACCTGGCAAAGTCTTACATTAGAGAAGGAAATAACATGCCCTTTTTTAAAAAATCGCACTTACCGCCATGATTTTAATGAAAGAAAATTGATCCTTTATTTATGGCCATAGTTAATATCAACTAAATTATTTTCAATTATTGATTTGTCTGTTTCAGAGGATGACTTCTACGATAAACTTGCCACCAGCATTGCCCCTGAGATCTACGGCCATGCAGATGTTAAAAAAGCTCTTCTCTTGTTATTAGTTGGAGGAGTGGACAAGTCACCAAAGGGGATGAAAATAAGAGGTGATCTGTCATGTGCTGGGTTGAACTCAGTTACGTTCTGGGCTCAACACTGTCATGGGCTGGGTTCGACACTGTCACATGCTTGGCTCAACACTGTCAGGGGCTGGGTTCAACAATCACAATACACTATATCTTATGTAGAATTTATTAGTTGCAAAAATATTTACATCTGATTACAATAGTTAAGAAAATAATTGCAAAATACTAAGAAAATATAACCAGAGTATAGCTTTGAACAAATCAGTAGTTATGGAATAATTTGCCCATGGCATGAAAATTACAAAAAATAATATGTGGGATTTTTTGTATCTTCAATATGATACACATAACAATACCACATCTGCAAAATGTAACTGGTACTTACATGTTGACAACTTATCTCAGGTAACATCAACATCTGTCTGATGGGGGACCCTGGTGTGGCCAAATCTCAGCTACTTTCTTACATTGACCGATTGGCTCATCGCAGTAAGTGTTGTATTTTTTTTATTCGATGGATGCACCTAAGCAGTCTGAACTCTTAAATTGTAATGAGGTTGTTGTAGAACAAAGACCTGCTCTAAAATACTTTAATTCTAGATTTAGATCATCACTTATGTTAATTAATGTGATATCTTCTCATAGGTCAGTACACAACAGGACGGGGGTCATCTGGTGTTGGTTTGACAGCATCGGTGATGAAAGATCCCATCACAGGAGAGATGATGCTTGAAGGCGGAGCCCTGGTGTTGGCCGATGAGGGTGTGTGTTGTATTGATGAGTTTGACAAAATGATGGACGCTGACAGGACGGCCATTCATGAGGTTATGGAACAGCAGACCATCTCCATTGCCAAGGTATAGATATATTCTCTCTTTACTTTTAAATATTTGCCCATCTTTTCACATGACAAAAAAGTAATTATAGTATGTAATTGGACTGACCAATGCAATGAGTTGTAAACAATGCACATAGGGGCTGCAGAAGGATTGAGGTGTATGATTGACCAGCTGTTTATGGTACAATACTTAAACTTTAAGAAAATTTATTGACCCAGAATCACTTAGGAATTAAAATTGTATAGGAATTAAAATTGTATAATTTTATTGGTGAACCTCTGCCCATGAAGTTTAATAAAATATTGGAATGGTTGTCCTGTTGTGATAAAAGCATCAGACCAATGTGGATCAAACCTTTTCCAAATGCCTTCATTAAAAGTTTTAATCGAAACAAATTTATTAACCCTTTCGGGGCGGAGCCTTTTTTGGAGTGGCGGTGCCAAGAAGACGGGGCACTTTTTATAAGCTCGGCCCTTATATTGCCAAAAGATTATCATCATTTTGATCGTCTTCATTATTTTCTTGGTTGATTTTGTCAGTGTCACTGCTAGAATATCAAAATCACTAAGGATCGCTTGTTCAGTGTCACTGTCAGACATTTTTTAAATATTACCTTATTACTTGCAAGGCAACAAAAAGATACAGAATACAACAAAAGCTAGTAAATAATCAAAGTAAGCAGCCATTAAGATACCAAGTAGTGCTTAGCTGGTATGAAGACAAATCAGCCAATCTATAGGTTCGAATTAATATAGATTGCCATTCATCTTTTTCGCTACTTCACCATGGCCGATAGATTTGCCCAGCCATCTCAAGAGGGTTAATTATGTGTATGTAATGTTGTATCCTCTATTCTTCTTGATATTTGCATAAATTTAGAAGATATTATATCATAGCTCCGGGGTAAAATCACAATATTAGAACATGTTCCAGGATTATTAGCTAAACACACTGGTGTATCTCTAGGCTGGTATCATGACAAGTCTAAATGCTCGTGTGTCCATTCTTGCTGCCGCTAACCCCGCCTACGGCCGCTACAACCCCAGGAAGACGGTGGAGCAAAATATTCAACTACCTGCAGCTTTACTCTCCAGATTTGATCTACTTTGGTTGATGCAGGACAAACCGGAGCGGGACAATGACCTCAGGTACTTTGCTTGAGTGTACTTTTATCTTTGATCAAAAGTACTTTAATTTATGAAAGTTTCATAATATTGCACATTTTATGTTAAAATATTATTTAAACAATGACACAATTAATAAATTAAACTGTGTTGTAAATTTTAATAGGCACGCGTGATCAAACATAAAAAAAAATAAAGTAAATAAAAAATAAAAAATGGGACCATGAATAGAAAATAGAGGCTCTGCCTTACTAAATTGGCACATAGCTGGCTGGTGGTTATCAATTGAATTTAAAGTTATGCAATTTTTGTTATTTTCTCACCAAAATGATGTGCATAATTTACATTTAATTATTATTTGTAAAATAAAAGTAATAGTTTTTTTAAAAACTGATATTGAAATTACTATTACAGTGTGATGTCCATGCTGTTGACCTTGTATTTACATTTTCTTTAAATACATTTTCTAACCAGATTAGCTCAGCATATTACCTATGTCCACCAACACAACGTCCATCCTCCTCTCACCTTCCAGCCCCTGGACATGAAACTTATGAGGTATGAACTATTAAAACATTATTTCCGTTTACTTTATGAACTATAACAGTTGCCCCAGGGCAAGGCATAACCCAACTTATCCAATGGAGGCTTACATTAATTCAAAATAAAGAAATTTGACATTGTCTGGCCACCTTTAGAAGTTTGCTATTTCTTACTGTAAATGTCAGAGAAGATTCAATGTGCCATTTTATTAAATGTTATTTTATTAAATGTTATTTTATTAAATGTTAATTAAGAATTTAACACTCAAGGTCATATAGTATTTAAAAAAAAAATGTTGAGCTGACATTACAAGAGTATCTCCATGTAGACTCTTAGTCGAATTTTTAAAAAAATCATTAAAAAATATCATTTATGTAAATTGGAATTTGATGTTTTAAATACAAATTTATAAAATATTTATTCTTCTTTGACCAGGCGGTACATCAGCCTTTGTAAGTCAAAATCTCCGACGGTTCCTGAATCTCTGGCCGAGTACATCACCGGAGCTTACGTGGAGATGAGAAAAGAAGCTCGTAATAACAAGGACATGACATTTACCTCTGCCCGTACGCTGCTGGCCATCTTGCGACTTTCAACTGCTCTAGCCAGACTGCGATTGGCCGAAACTGTTGAGAAAGAAGATGTGAATGAAGCCATGCGTCTGATGGAAATGTCTCGTGATTCTCTAAACTCTATCCACGACACTCACTCTAAGTAAGTTACTTGTATATTTTTAAGATACTTAGAATTTTGTATTCTAACTTCATTTGTCTCGGGGATCAGATGGGACACATTTTAAGATTTGAAGATGTTGCACACTAAAAGATTGTGTTACAATCACGCACAGGAAGGACTGTTAATTAAACTATAGTGTAAATTACTTAGTAGATATGTCGACATAATGAAAAGTGCAGATCCCTTATTTTTCTTTACGATATATTATATATTTATAATGAAATTATTAGAGGTAGAGGGAAGATGTGCACCTAGTTGAGAGGGCTCAAAACTATTATTAAATAGCATTGTCATTTATTTTTTTAAAATCTGGCCAAAATCAATTTTAAAATAACCAAACTCTTTGTGCACTGAAAATTACAAATGTGTTTTGTTTCCCTTTTTTTTTTTTTGAAATTTTAGCTTTACGCCTTTTACCCAGCCTGGTGCAAGAATTCTCCATTCTTCTGTGTCCTCTGCTTTACTTTCCAAATATATCCTATGCTTTGTGTGTCTGTTTCTAGTTCACGTCCCTTTTTTTGCTAATGTATTTGTGGTTCATTTGGTTTTCTGTTCTATAGTCAATACACTATTGTTGCCCCCCAATAACAAGCTTACTTTCTGTGCAGAAGTCTGCCAGCCTTTCTGCGTTTTCATTTTTCTCTTTTCTTTCCCAATCTTAGCATTTAGATCTCCCATTGTGATATTTAGATCTCTACCTGTTCCTACTTATCTCTACCTGTTCCTACTTTGTTTTGTTGCGTTCCTTTTTTCAGGTTTAACCCTACTTTCTTTTACTCATTACATATTGTTTCTAACCTGATTGCACTCTCTCCCCTTATTAACCATTTATATATAAATGATTCATTTATAAAATTTTTATTAACTTCACATTTTTTTCATATATGAATATATATTTTTTTCAAACAGGAGCATTAACCCCATCGATCAGATTTACCAAATAATCCGGGAGATGGTCCCAACAACGGGAGTGAAGTCCCTCAAACTGTCAGACATCATGGAACTTTGCACAAGTAAAGGTTTTAAACCAGACCAGGTCAATGTTTGCATCGAGGAATATGAGGATCTGAACGTGTGGCAAGTCAACAGTGCCAGGACAAGACTGACCTTCCTCTGATTTAACACAGATTCAACACAGTTGGGGAGGGGACAAACTCAATGCTTTAGAATTGTTATTAGCTTCAATCTTTGAGTTCTAAACTTTTCATTGCTTAGAAAAATTAAATTCAATAAATTGTTGTTTTGATAATTATATTTTTACTCTGAAAATATTTTATATAATATGTAAATTGTAGTTGCTTGGTGTGAATGTTCAGATTCAAAACCATTTTTAAAAAAATTTCTTGTTTCATGGATATTTTCAAATAACATTTTGTGTAAATCACACTTTAAATACAGGTATTGGACAATTTCTTAGTCAATAAAGCCTGAATATTTTAGAGTGTTTATTATTTTTATTTTATGTAAGTGTGATGGTCAGTTTGAAAGTTGGATGAAAAGTGTGCTTCTATTTAGATCAGTGGTTCTCAATCTTCCTAATGCCCGCGATCCATACAGTTCATCATGTTGTGACCCCCATCCATAAAATTATTTTCGCTGCTACTTAATGAATTTGTGTTTACCCAATAGTCAAACAGTGAATGTTGAAGCAGATTTAAAATGGAGTTAGGTCAAGGTCTACATCAGGTGTGGGCAACCCTTCTCAAAAACTGGGGACCGGGTGTAAAAAATCTGCACACTGTTGAGCCCAACTATTCACTATTTGCATATTTTTTTTTTTTTTTTAAATGGTTATGTACTTATATAGTTTATTTAAATACCATTGGATTGTTCAAAACATCTATATTTTAATAATATTTGAACACATTAAGAATGAAACTAATACAAATACACTGTGCAATGACTAATGTACATAGAAAGTTTGATAATGAAATGAACGATGTAAAAATTTGAAGATAAAATTTCAACAATAATGCATGTTGGAAAAAAATATGTTGAACAGTCTTGTTCTGTACCGTACAGCATACATACTGGTACTAATACTTTTCAATTTTACTTATTGTTCAGAGTCTTGTAGTTTTTTTTTTTTCAAAAACAAAAATACAATCTTAATGGATTTAATTAATTGAAATTATTCATTTCGGTTAGTTTACTTTAAAAAAAAAGTTTTCTAAGGTAACGTATAAACCAGAAAGAGTTGATAGGATCTTCAATAATTTTTTAAATAGTTTTGTTATGGCCTTAACTTAAACCCTTTACTCATTTAGTTCTCCACAGAGGTCACTTTTAGCTCACCATTGTTTTGACAAATTAAGCCACTCCCCTTTTGTTCTGGGGAATGTCTCACTGCCTAAGATGGTCAACTGCAGGGATTAGAGACAAGACTCCAGGCCTTAAGATTAATCTTCAGAATTCCTAGAGACTATGTGTATGAAGATACTTGTTCATATCATCAACATTGTTCTGCCATAAGTGCATTTGTCACCATTACTGTTAGTGTACTTCCGCCATGTACAACTAGTTCAATCTAAAGCTAACAAGTTAACAAGTATTGAAAATGTTGTGTTGTTTATACTGGCTTTTGTAGTTGGGTTGCTATATCCTGATCCTTCAGTCCTCCATTTCTGTTACGCAATATTTTTCTTATGGGCCAGTGCAAAACCAACTATATTTGTTAAATACTGCAGTAACAAAGTAGACATCTTAAAACAGTATGTATATTCACAGACATCTGAACACCCCCCACCCCCCTCTATTTAAAACAATGGTCTCAAACTCGCGGCCCGCAAGTCAATATTTTGCAGCCTGCCACACGACAGCAAAGTTTAGTGTTAATGCGGCCTGCGCTTTTTTCCCATTCTCATATCTAAAATGTGACCCTCAGCGACAGTTTCAATCGAATGTTTCAGTCGAATCTTACCGACTAGTCTAATTCTGATTTTTATTAAGTTTGTATAGATTTGGACGTTGATTATAATGGAAGACGTTGATTATAATGGAAGACACCGTTTTAAAATCAGCCTAAAATTTTTTATTTTATAGCATTTATGGGACAAATAAGGCCAAAGTGCGGTTTTGAGAAAAGTGTAAAAAGTCCTTTATCAGGTAATGCACAACAATATTTGTGTAGTTATTTGACCCAGTATCAAAGAATCCATATTAAAATTTCCGCTAGCCTTTACGAGTGAGGTGAATGTAATTAAGAAGTTGCAACACCAGGGATTACTTGTCAGTTTTGCCTATGACAAAATAAAGGCATTCTACATAAAACTTGTCTTAAGGTTCTTAGAGAAACCTCTACCATTTCTCACCATGCAAAGTACTCCTGGACTCGGGAACATCATTCAGTACCGGTAGTAAGTATACTGATGCCACTGCAAAGCTATAGGAGGAATTTGATCACATGGACTTCAAAACACATGGAGCCACTTTTTAACTTTTTGCTGACCCTTTCTCCTTCATTGTGTCCATACCCCCCACCTCTTTTTGAGCTTCAAATGAAGCTGATTGATCTTCAGTGCAATTTCTAAGTTCAGGGAGGTGAATGGAAAAACAGACAAGCATGGATAATGTATGAGAGCATTGCCCTCCATTTTCCCTGAGATTTCCAGGTTGCTTTTTTTGGGAGTACCTATCTGTGTAAAAAGCTCAGTTTCACTTTAAACTTTAACAAGTCTAAGTTACTGATGAGCAATTTCAAGCTATACTGAGGGTCTCAGTTGCTTACTCACTCAAGCAAAATGTTGCTCAGCTGTGTAAGAAGAAGCGCTGCCAGGACTCTGGCAACAAGGAGTATAAGGAAGAAAGGAAAGTCTAGTTCTTAAGAATAATTAATGTTTTTAATTTTTATTAATGAAGGTTGAGCACATTGTAACAGTTTACTTTATTGAATTTGTGATCGCTCTTTTGTGGAAAACTTGATACGGCCCACTCTCACACAGAATCTACCTCCTGCCGCCCCCAGATGGTATGAGTTTGAGACCCCTGGTTTAAAAGAATACCTAGTTTTTATTCAGTCACACATCTATATAAAATAGTTTAATGATGTAAAAATATATTAAAAAACTCAAAGAGCAATTGAAATAATGTTTATTTACAATGAGGATTAAATTATAATTTTTAATTTTAACAATTTATTGTATACTCTTGTTATCATAATTTAAAAAGAAGAGAAAAGGATGCCAAAAAATAAACTGAGAAAAATTACATGTATACATAACTTGATAAATGAGTCTTTACCTTTGCTATCAATTTTTTTAAAAATTGATAACTAAATTGAGAAAATTGATGTGAGGACAGCTATAATGGACTGACAGTACAGTAATTATACATTTTTATTTTAAATAATAAATTTTCTCATAAATTTTAACACTATTCTTCACACCAGCTTCTTAAATTAATCCTGTCTCAAATTTCCTTAGGGAATATGCTGAACACATTTTTTAAAATTGCATTTTTTCATAACTGTTACATTAATTTAAAAAATGGAAACTGAATAATTTAAGAGTTAACATTTATTGCAAACATTAATTTTTTTTTGTCAGGCATGACACGTGAATTAACTCCATTTAGAAAATAACAAATGAAAACAACTATAGAAACATGAAAGACTTGAATGCAGTCCCTTTATTGTTTTCATTTCTCATACTCATAGGGACAAAAGTGGAAAGAAATTTATTTTTATTTTTTTAAAAAACAGATTCTATAATTTCAGTGTAAATTTCCTCCAATGATTTATTTATCTGAATTTACCAAAGTTTGGTTAGTGCAATTTACGAATTCACAAGTCACTAATTAAATTCTGAAACATCATTTCACCAATTTGCAAAAAAATTTTGCACTGACTTAATAATGTTAGCATAAAAATCATTTTAAATGGTTTTGCAACCTTGTCCAGGTATTCAATATGGCGAATATATAAAATACAAATGAGTCAGCTATTTTATTAACAACAATATATGAAGTCATATCGCCCTACAAGAGACCTGTAAGATAACTGTAAACAAGGGTTAGGTATGTTGTTCACAGTTGACATACACATTATCTATAACCACACTCATACATACATGAGGCCAATGGCTGCCAATGCAATGAAATAAAATGAAGGGCTTTCTAATAATGAATCAACAATTCCATCTAGCTCTTTATTCAAATTCAAAAAGTTAATGTTTGCTTATGGAGTTAAAGATTAACAAAAAAATTGACATTCCTCATGTTTACTTAATTGCTAGATTTACATTGAGCTAGTTCACGTCCCCGGCAGAATTTCCTCTAATGGGGTGACTTTTCCCTGTCTGCTTTACATTTTCTTTGTTACTTAATGACATAATGAAGAAAAATTTGGCATCCCATAAAGCTGTTTTTTCCAGCCTCCATTAACTTTATTAATGAATTTATCAATGATCTAAATATGCATCATATTCCTAAATACCAATACAGATAATTAAAATGGCCAAAGGTCATGCTTCATTCAACAAGCATATTCCAATGATAATGTAGGAATGAATGATCAGTCAACTAATTAGAATTGGACAAAATATGGACAAATTATATATATATTTTTTTGCATTATTTTTTTTTGTTACAATTAATTAAAGATTAAAATTCCATACATTTAAACTGAACAAAAGGACGATGACCATACACACACATATAATATGTAATGTATATTCATGAGTTTTGACATTTATTTATAACACAATCGTGGGAAATTGCAAAAATCTTCTTTAAAAATATTTGCTGGTTTGGTTAAGATAACCTTGAGACAAGTACATTACTATTTCCACAGTTAGAACTGTTATACAATAATATTAATAACCTGCCTGGAAAAATTAGTACGCTAAATACAATATAGATTTCATGCTGAATAGAGTTTCTTCATAAATATGACCCTAATCAGTTAAAAATAAATTACTTTTCACCAATCAATAAACCACTTGATACGAGTTTTAATTTTTAAAAATAATCAAATCTCAAGCTCTAGCTATCTACTGGAAGATTTTATAAAAAAAAAACAACAAAAAAAAAACGGAAAAAAAACCCCCAACAATATACAGATGTCGTTATTTGAACTAAGAGCAAACATCGCCAGCTTCTATCTTTACAGCAGCTGCCTCTGTAGACTAAAATGAAAGATTTGGGAAATTATAATTTTTTAAACACTTCTTTGAAAAAAGGGATTACGCTTGACTTGTCTTTGTACTACCTGTTCCTTGTTAGCAGTTAACAATTTGACTTGTCTTTGTACTACCTGTTCCTTGTTAGCAGTTAACAATTTGACTTGTCTTTGTACTACCTGTTCCTTGTTAGCAGTTAACAATTTGACTTGTCTTTGTACTACCTGTTCCTTGTTAGCAGTTAACAATTTGACTTGTCTTTGTACTACCTGTTCCTTGTTAGCAGTTAACAATTTGACTTGTCTTTGTACTACCTGTTCCTTGTTAGCAGTTAACAATTTGACTTGTCTTTGTACTACCTGTTCCTTGTTAGCAGTTAACAATTTGACTTGTCTTTGTACTACCTGTTCCTTGTTAGCAGTTAACAATTTGACTTGTCTTTGTACTACCTGTTCCTTGTTNTTTTTTTTTTTTTTTTTTTTTTAATGAAAGAAAAAAGACATTTGCATTTACTAATAGAGACAGGGCCGGCCTTGGGCCACTGCAACCTATGCGGCCGCAGTGGGCCCCGCAATTGTTAGGGCCGGCCCTGACTAGAGGTCACTGAAACATTACAAGAGCCTACTTCACAACAATTTTATTTTCATGCTCTAAAATGAAAAAAAAAAAGTTGTCCATAAAGTTGTGTGTTCTGAACACGCAGAGATCTGCCCAAAATAAAAAAAAATGTAAAAGCCTAATATATTTAAAGACACATTTATTGCAAACGGACGTCTGGTAAGAAATAATATACTGTCAGTAACCCTCGTTTTCACTGCCTAAAAATAATAATTTTAAAAAATATATTCTAACTGCTTCAGCGTTTATTAAAAAATGCTAATTTTAGAGTTTAAAAAACCCCAGTAAATTAAAGTATTGATTAACAATCAGGGACAGGATTATTATTGAACAATGAGGGTTTTTTTTTTTTTGTGTGGTTGTTTGAGATATACGAAGTTCAGAGGCAATAGTAGGCCACATTTGAAGTGGAAGTTCTAATACCAATAATTCAAAATTATTTCTATCTGGAAGAATATCCAAATAACAAGAAATAAGTTTTATAGCTACTGGCAATTAGAATAAAGTTAACAATGGAAGATAAGGGGCTTGACTTTAAGTACAATGCCTGCATATTTAAAAAAAAATTGTTTTCAAGTGCTAAATAAAAAACTATAAATAAAATGAAAAATTACAATATGTTTTACTAAATACAATTTACCTACATTCTGTAAAATTCATTGTTTATGTCATAACATGAATAAAAAAAGGAAGTTAAATACAAGACTTCCAAAAGTTTATAAATAATATATTGGAAAAAAAAAGATGAAAAGATGATTGCAGCATTCAGAGGGAGAAAAATCTGGCCGACAAGGGTTTTTGTTGACAAAAGGCACTAACCATTCACAATAGCACTAGGAAAAATAACAAGGAATGGCACAAGCTTACAGTACAGAGAGAGAGCACAATTAATACACAATATAAGTGGACCTGAAGATATAATTACAGCAGTGATTTCAAAAGTCACTTTTTATGCAATTTTTCATACTTCATTTTTTATTTCACACACTGACCTATAAACTGTACTTAGACTTTAGATGCATCAGTCACTTCAAATTAGACTAAGTGTGTCTTGTAGCTGTGGACTAAGTGTGTCTTATAGCTGTGGACTAAGTGTGTCTTGTAGCTGTGGACTAAGTGTGTCTTGTAGCTGTGGACTAAGTGTGTCTTGTAACTGTGGACTAAGTGTGTATTGTAGCAGTGGATTAAGTGAGTCATTCAGTAGTGGACTAAGTGTGTCTTGTAGCTTTGGACTAAGTGTGTATTGTAGCAGTGGACTAAGTATGTCTTGTAGCTGTGGATTAAGTGTGTCTTGTAGCAGTGGATTAAGTGTGTCTTGTAGCAGTGGATTAAGTGTCTTGTAGCAGTGGATTAAGTGTCTTGTAGCAGTGGATTAAGTGTGTCTTGTAGTCATGGATTAAGTGTCTTGTAGCAGTGGATTAAGTGTGTCTTGTAGTTATGGATTAAGTGTGTCTTGTAGAGGTGGACTAAGTGTGTCTTAAAGTTATCATTGTCCAAATAATACCTTAGGGTTATCTGATATTCAACTACAGCGATGAACAAATAAAATAAAATATCAGATGTGGGACCAAACAGCAAGTCTTATACATCTCCAACAAATTGTTCAACTTTTTTTATAATTTATCAGTGGTTCTCATCATAATAATTTTCAGATTATTTTCTGTTCTAATATTTCATTATAAGAGCCTGTGTTCCTTTTCACTAGCTCTAAGTGTGGTGTTACCCTGTGGTCCATTTATCCCAGAAATTCAATGAAAACTGAAAATTGCAAGTACTAATAAATGCCATATGTCAATTTATTTACACTCAATACAATTGTACGTACACTTTGCAACCCTTTTCAGCCAGGAGAGCTCACTTCCCACGAACCATCCACATTGAATGCTCTTAAATATTCACAATACACTTACTTTTGCACAGCTTCATTTAAAACGTATCATTTACAGTACAATTTACAATAGATCAAAATAAAATACTTTTATTAGCCTCGCTCAAGGATTCTCACACCGTCCATTTTTTCCCCTCTCTGCAAACACGCATCCATCTGAATCACATTGCTTGATGTTATAAGGCCTTGCAGAGTCGACACCACACCGCGGCACATAAGAGCAGCATGGTGAAGGACGCCGTCATGTGTCCAGCTGAATCTTTAGGTCCCGATTTGGGTGTCACAATACTTGGGGCTCTGGTCGTGGTGGTGATCACTGCAGGGAGAGAGGAGAAATTGTGAGAAAACACAGTTAGGTGTTTTAAAGATTCATCTCCAAGAAGACGAATACAAAAAAAATTAATTAGGATGAATAGGATCAAATACAAAATGTGAAAGGAATTGAAAATGATTAATTAATTGTTACAAAAAACAATTTATGGTCCTGTGACTTTTCTTTCTCCATACAGGCTACTACATGGGTTCATTGATACGTGGGTTGATTGATACGTGGGTTGATTGATACGTGGGTTGATTGATACGTGGGTTGATTGGTACGTGGGTTGATTGGTACGTGGGTTGATTGGTACGTGGGTTGATTGATACGTGGGTTGATTGATACGTGGGTTGATTGATACGTGGGTTGATTGATACGTGGGTTGATTGATACGTGGGTTGATTGATACGTGGGTTTATTGATACGTGGGTTGATTGATACGTGGGTTGATTGATACGTGGGTTGATTGATACGTGGGTTGATTGATACGTGGGTTGATAGATACGTGGGTTGATTGATACGTGGGTTAATTGATACGTGGGTTGATTGATACATGGGTTGATTGATACATGGGTTGATTGATACGTGGGTTGACTGATACGTGGGTTGACTGATATGTGGGTTGATTGATACGTGGTTGATTGATATGTGGGTTGATTGATACTTGGGTTGATTGATATGTGGGTTACCCAATATGTAAAAAAACTAAAATAAATACTTCGTTTATCTTTATTAAAAGATCACTTCATATATATTAATTAAAATATCACTCATAAAATATATCCTTATAAACAGATCATTTCATATATCTTTACAAACAGATCACTTCATAATCCGTACTCATTCCTTTTATAACGACAGTGGACGGAAAGGTCCGTGTCCAAGACCTTGGGGAACTGCCTCTGTCCACTCTCTCTTGGACTATAGACAACCCGTTTGGAGTCAACACTGCTCCCCCCCACACACACACACAAATTCCATGAAAGTTACAAACATCCTACATATTGATTTAGGACNCATTAAGTCAAGGTCCCATTTTTTAAGTGTCTCATTAAGTCAAGGTCTCATTTTTAAGTGTCTCATTAAGTCAAGGTCTCATTTTTTAGTGTCTCATTAAGTCAAGGTCTCATTTTTTAAGTGTCTCATTAAGTCAAGGTCTCATTTTTAAGTGTCTCATTTAGTAAGTGTCTCATTTAGTAAGTGTCTCGTTTGTCTTGCAATAGGTTGTAATGTTTATTATCCCCCCCCCCGAAAAGCTTTTAACGAAAAGCAATCACCGAAACTGATGACGACGGTAGATGAGCTCGGATCTCAACTCAATCACAACACTAAAAAGTTGAAACAATTCTATAAAATAAAACAAAAAAACTACCCATGGCGCCATTATGGAAATAGATCCAACAGCGTTGCCCAATGAAATACAACGTTCCCATGAGGCCATCGCGTTTCAACTCATTTCCTGTGGGTGCCGCCCCCTAACAGTACCCTCTTTCTTTCCTTGGCAGCCATTAGTTCCCTTTGGAAGTTGGAGGTTGACCAGAAAACCGATCGTAGTGTCACAGGTGACCGTTGTGGTCAGAACTCTGAGTCGTTGGCCTATTCACAGGAATACCACGTTATGGCCAGAACTCTGAGTGGTTGGCCTATTCATAGGATTCTGGGTTGTTGGGCCTGGGTTGTTGGGCCTCGGTTGTTGGGACTGGGTTGTTGGGTGTTTGTTGTTGGGACTGGTTGTTGGGTCTTGGTTGTTGGGACTAGGTTGTTGGGTGTTTGTTGTTGGGACTGGTTGTTGGGTCTTGGTTGTTGGGACTGGGTTGTTGGGTCTTGGTTGTTGGGACTGGGTTGTTGGTTGTTGGGACTGGGTTGTTGGGTCTTGGTTGTTGGGACTGGGTTGTTGGGTCTTGGTGGTTGGGACTGGGTTGTTGGGTCTTGGTGGTTGGGGCTGGTTGTTGGGTCTTGGGTGTTGGGTCTTGGTTGTTAGGACTGGGTTGTTGGGTCTTGGTTGTTGGGGCTGGGTTGTTGGGACTGGGTTGTTGGGTGTTTGTTGTTGGGACTGGGTTGTTGGGTCTTGGTTGTTGGGCCTGGGTTGTTGGGCCTCGGTTGTTGGGACTGGGTTGTTGGGTGTTTGTTGTTGGGCCTCGGTTGTTGGGACTGGGTTGTTGGGACTGGGTTGTTGGGTGTTTGTTGTTGGGACTGGTTGTTGGGTCTTGGTTGTTGGGACTGGGTTGTTGGGTCTTGGTTGTTGGGACTGGGTTGTTGGGTCTTGGTTGTTGGGACTGGGTTGTTGGGACTGGGTTGTTGGGTCTTGGTTGTTGGGACTGGGTTGTTGGGTCGTGGGACTGGGTTGTGTTATTTCTATGAGGTTCTCTTCTTGTAGTACGTCTTGCAAATTTGGAAACCACACTCCGTCGTTCACGGGCGGCCCCTGGCGACACGTTTCATGTAGCAAGACTCCGCCCATGAAACAAACGTTTATCAACAATGATGACATTTAATCGTAGTTGATTGATTTCATTGATACGGCCAACAGATCAATGTCAGCAAGGACCGCCTAGCCCTGATCGATAGCGGGTCTGACTAAAGATGAAAGACTTTGATTTCCTGATGACCTTTAACTCCCATAGTCGGAGGAAAGCTGTAATTACTGTTATTATTTGTGGAGTCCCCCTTTCACAACTCCGCCACACACACACACGCACACACTTAGATTTCCGTTCAATCCTAAACATTAAACATGTTATTTAAAGCGCCAATGAGACATTTTCAAGATGAAATGAACTTTGAAGAATGACCCACAATGAGTTTTTGGTTAACATGCTTGTGACATGTGGTCTGCCAATTTGTGACATGTGGTCTGCCAATTTGTGACACGTGGACTGCCATTTTGTGACACGTGGTCTGCCAATTTGAGACCTGGGGTCTGCCAACTTGTGACCAGTGGTCTGCCATTTTGTGACATGTGGTCCGAAATCGTGTTATATGTGGTCTGCCAGCTTGTGACACGTGGACTGCCAACTTATGACAAGTGAACTGCCAGCGTCCATTCAAATAATGGTTATACCCCCTCCCCCATATAATCTTATCTACGATGTTGCTTGCACGAAGATGGGAAAATGAGACAATGGGAAAATGAGACAATGGGAAAATGGGAAAATGAGAAAATGGGAAAATGAGACAATGGGAAAATAAGAAAATGGGAAGATGAGAAAATTGGAAAATGGGAAAATGAGACAATGGGATAATAAGAAAATGGGAAGATGAGAAAATTGGAAAAATGAGACAATGGGAAAATAAGAAAATGGGAAGATGAGAAAATGGGAAAATGAGACAATGGGAAAATAAGAAAATGGGAAGATGAGAAAATGGGAAAATGAGACAATGGGAAGATGAGGAAATGGGAAAATGAGACAATGGGAAAATAAGAATATGGGAAAAGGGGAAAATGAGAAAATCAAACACCAACCCCCTCACATGCCGGAATTAATGAACAGTTAGCTCCGGGGCCTCCCCCATTCACGTGTTTAGATTCATTTTGCTTCAAAACAACTTTAAACAACGCTGTTTGTGTTAGGTACAATGTCAGCACGACCTACCTGGCTCCGGAGTGTGTACAGGTGTCGTGCTGCCGGAACCGCTCCCGTCTGCTGATGATATGTCCTCGTCGTCGAAGTCCTCGTCGTCGATGGTGACGTCACGTCCGGTGCTGTAGCCGCCGCCACTTCCGGTCACGTCTTTGTAGGACTGGTCATTCAGCATCAGCTCTTCGTTCATCAGCGTGCTCAGATTCTAACGCAAGAAATGGTTTAAAAGACATGACACTAGAGCTGTACATCACATCAAGTTTTAATACATTGCAGTTGCGTCACAAAAAGATAAAAAGATGGAAAGGGTGGGGGGGGGGTGCTGCTGCGGGTTTACATGCCAAATGGAGGCTGGCCTTCAACAGTGTGTAGTAGAATGTGTCCATTTGCTCTAATTGCGTTACTGTTGGTCCAAGATGTGCAGCTAATTTTCCTAGTTATGTCCAAGATGTACAGCTAATTGTCCTAGTTATGTCCAAGATGTGCAGCTAATTGTCCTAGTTATGTAACTAAACGTCCTATGGCGTTACGTCACAAATTGTCCTGGCTGGACACAGTCACGTGTGTTTCCAGAATTCAACTGACCATCTTAGCCGACTGTTTTAGCCGACTGTCTTAGCTGACTGTCTTAGCTGACTGTTTTAGCTGACTTTCTTAGCTGACTGTTTTAGCTGACTGTTTTAGATGACTGTTTTAGCTGACTGTTTTAGCTGACTGTTTTAGCTGACTGTTTTAGCCGACTGTCTTAGCTGACTGTTTTAGCTGACGGTTTTAGCTGACTGTTTTAGCTGACTGTTTTAGCCGACTGTCTTAGCTGACTGTTTTAGCTGACGGTTTCGGCTGACTTTCTTAGCTGACTGTTTTAGCTGACTTTCTTAGCTGACTGTTTTAGCTGACTTTCTTAGCTGACTGTTTCAGCTGACTGTTTTAGCCGACTGTTTTAGCCGACTGTCTTAGCTGACTGTCTTAGCTGACTGTTTTAGATGACTGTTTCAGCTGACTGTTTTAGCTGACTGTTTTAGATGACTGTTTTAGCTGACGGTTTTAGCTGACTGTTTTAGCTGACTGTTTTAGCCGACTGTCTTAGCCGACTGTTTTAGCTGACGGTTTTAGCTGACTTTCTTAGCTGACTGTTTTAGATGACTGTTTTAGATGACTGTTTTAGATGACTGTTTTAGATGACTGTTTTAGCTGACTGTTTTAGCCGACTGTCTTAGCTGACTGTTTTAGCTGACGGTTTTAGCTGACTTTCTTAGCTGACTGTTTTAGCTGACTTTCTTAGCTGACTGTTTTAGCTGACTTTCTTAGCTGACTGTTTCAGCTGACTGTTTTAGCCGACTGTTTTAGCTGACTGTTTTAGCTGACTGTTTTAGATAACTGTTTTAGCTGACTGTTTTAGCTGACTGTTTCAGCTGACTGTTTTAGATGACTGTTTTAGATGACTGTTTCAGCTGACTGTTTCAGCTGACTGTTTTAGCTGACTGTTTTAGCTGACTGTTTTAGCTGACTGTTTTAGCTGACTGTTTTAGCTGACTGTTTTAGCTGACTGTTTTAGCTGACTGTTTTAGCTGACGGTTTTAGCTGACTTTCTTAGCTGACTGTTTTAGATGACTGTTTTAGATGACTGTTTTAGATGACTGTTTTAGATGACTGTTTTAGCTGACTGTTTTAGCTGACTGTTTTAGCTGACTGTTTTAGCTGACGGTTTTAGCTGACTTTTTTAGCTGACTGTTTTAGATGACTGTTTTAGATGACTGTTTTAGATGACTGTTTTAGATGACTGTTTTAGCTGACTGTTTTAGCTGACTGTTTTAGATAACTGTTTTAGCTGACTGTTTTAGCTGACTGTTTCAGCTGACTGTTTTAGCTGACTTTCTTAGCTGACTGTTTTAGCTGACTGTTTTAGATGACTGTTTTAGATGACTGTTTTAGATGACTGTTTTAGATGACTGTTTTAGCTGACTGTTTCAGCTGACTGTTTTAGCTGACGGTTTTAGCTGACTTTCTTAGCTGACTGTTTTAGCTGACTGTTTCAGCTGACTGTTTTAGCCGACTGTTTTAGATGACTGTTTTAGATGACTGTTTTAGATGACTGTTTTAGATGACTGTTTTAGATGACTGTTTTAGATGACTGTTTCAGCTGACTGTTTCAGCTGACTGTTTTAGCTGACTGTTTTAGCTGACTGTTTTAGATAACTGTTTTAGCTGACTGTTTTAGCTGACTGTTTCAGCTGACTGTTTTAGCTGACTGTTTCAGCTGACTGTTTTAGCTGACTGTTTTAGCTGACTGTTTTAGATGACTGTTTTAGATGACTGTTTCAGCTGACTGTTTTAGCCGACTGTTTTAGCTGACTGTTTTAGCTGACTGTTTTTGCTGACTGTTTTTGCTGACTATTTTAGCTGACTGTTTTAGCTGACTGTTTTTCTGACTGTTTCAGCTGACTGTTTTAGCCGACTGTTTTAGATGACTGTTTTAGATGACTGTTTTAGATGACTGTTTTAGATGACTGTTTTAGATGACTGTTTTAGCTGACTGTTTCAGCTGACTGTTTTAGCTGACTGTTTTAGCTGACTGTTTTAGCTGACTGTTTTAGGTAACTGTTTTAGCTGACTGTTTTAGCTGACGGTTTTAGCTGACTGTTTTAGCTGACTGTTTTAGCTGACTGTTTTAGCTGACTGTTTTAGCTGACTGTTTTAGCTGACTGTTTTAGATGACTGTTTTAGATGACTGTTTCAGCTGACTGTTTTAGCTGACTGTTTTAGCTGACTGTTTTAGCTGACTGTTTTAGCTGACTGTTTTAGCTGACTATTTTAGCTGACTGTTTTAGCTGACTGTTTTAGCCGACTGTTTTAGCTGACTGTTTTAGCTGACTATTTAAGCTGACTATTTTAACCGGCTATTTCTCCACACTATTTGGATGATTCGTCCCTCGCGATTTGCTTCCTACGGTTGATGTAACAAAAATGTTCTAACCCAGCGTTTCCCAAAACTTTTCAACCTGTCTGACCGGTGGTCACGTTTTGAAATTGCACCAAGGGACCGGCGCCAGGTTTATTAATTACATTTTCTTTTTATTCGACCATAAATATTCATGTTATGCGGACCGGGACCGGCGCCAGTCCACGGACCACCATTTGGGAAACACTCAATCAGCTCCTAATCTGTGATTCCTTCTATCACCCTGTTAGACTGCCATCCAAAGCCCATCTTAGACTGCCATCCACAGCCCCTCTTACACTGCCATCCAAAGCCTCTCTTTGACTGCCATCCAAAGCCCCCCTTAGACTGCCATCCAAAGCCCCTCTTAGACTGCCATCCAAAGCCCCCCTTAGACTGGCATCCGAACCCCCCTCCCTTAGACTGCCATCCAAAGCCCCTCTTAGACTATCCCCGGCCCCCTTTAGACTGCCATCCACGGCCCCCCCCCCTTAGACTGCCATCCCCAGCCCCCCTTAGACTGCCATCCAAAGCCCCCCCCCCCTTAGACTGCTAATCCACGCCCCTACTCAATGGCCAGCTAAATAAGACGTATTGATTTCTCAGGGGAGGTCAGCCATACCAGGACGTGGTGACGTCCAGTTGATTCCCCTTTCTGCGTCTACCGGAAATAGATAAATGTCTTTTTCACTCGTGGACTCCCGGCGCCGTCTTCCTTACGTCACACGGAGAAGCCATCCATCTCACTAAAACCGTGGGATCTTGGATGTAACGGCGAGGATAACAGCCCTCGTGGAAGCTGTCCGTGCCCTGGTCACTGCGTGTGTGGATAATTGCGTCATTATGTGTTCATGTAAGTCTGTATGTGTGAGTCTGTGTTTGTGAGGAAGTCTGAGTTTAAACGTGTGTGCTTAGTATGTGTGTTTGTAGGCAAGTGTGTGTAGTTTAAGTATGTGTGTGTGTGTGTGAGTGTGTGTGGGTAAGTATGTGTGTGTATGTGTAAGTGTAGGTAAGTATTAGTATGTGTGTTAGATACCGACCCAATGTAAATTTCTGACTTTGGCCGTAACCGAAATCAAACCGAAATTTAAAAAAAAAATGACTTTCAGCCGAAACCGAAGTGAAAATTGAAAGTTTAACAAGACTTTCGACCTAAACCAAAAGATTTAGATATTTCGAAACTCGTTCGCACATACGCTCTGTGTACGTCGAAAAATGATGAGGGAAAGTAGCGATATTTATATTCTTTTTATTAAAAAATGAATCATTGTGAATTTTAATTAAGTATCTGTGTGTATGTAGGTAAGTATGTATGTTTTGTTTGACTGGCGTACATAAAACACAAGGCGTACATAAAACACAAGGCGTACATAAAACACAAGGCGTACACAAAACACAACATGTACATAAAACACAAGGCGTACATAAAACACAAGGCATACACAAAACACAACATGTACATAAAACACAAGGCATACATAAAACACAAGGCGTACACGAAACACAACATGTACATAAAACACAAGGCGTACATAAAACACAAGGTGTACAAAAAAACACAACATGTACATAAAACACAAGGAACACAAGGCGTACATAAAACACAAGGCGTACACAAAACACAACATGTACATAAAACACAAGACGTACATAAAACACAAGACGTACATAAAACACAAGACGTACATAAAACACAAGACGTACATAAAACACAAGACGTACATAAAACACAAGACGTACATAAAACACAAGACGTACATAAAACACAAGACGTACATAAAACACAAGACGTACATAAAACACAAGACGTACATAAAACACAAGACGTACATAAAACACAAGACGTACATAAAACACAAGACGTACATAAAACACAAGACGTACATAAAACACAAGACGTACATAAAACACAAGACGTACATAAAACACAAGACGTACATAAAACACAAGACGTACATAAAACACAAGACGTACATAAAACACAAGACGTACATAAAACACAAGACGTACATAAAACACAAGACGTACATAAAACACAAGACGTACATAAAACACAAGACGTACATAAAACACAAGACGTACATAAAACACAAGACGTACATAAAACACAAGACGTACATAAAACACAAGACGTACATAAAACACAAGACGTACATAAAACACAAGACGTACATAAAACACAAGACGTACATAAAACACAAGACGTACATAAAACACAAGACGTACATAAAACACAAGACGTACATAAAACACAAGACGTACATAAAA